GCAATTTTACTATTCAAAATATAATAGAAAAGAACTTTACCCTTGTAGACTCCCTCGTACACTTCTGGCAACTCGGCAAGATACTTGACAATGAAACAGCACGCAGAGCTTGCAGTGTCATGGCCTCCGATCAATAACCCCAAAATCTTATCAGCAATATCCAATTCAGCCATGAACTTGCCGTTCTCGTCGCTTGTCAGAAGCATGTGTGACAATATATCTTGCGTCGGCGACGCCTTGCCCTCGGCCAAATCGACCTTTCTCTGCTTAATAATCCTCACAAGTTCTTTCCTGATGAAGTTCGAGGCCTTGATTGCACGGTGAAACGGTGTTCCAGGCAAGTCTATCGGGATTGATATAAGCCCGGAAGCCAAGAGGTCGAAAGGGTCTGCGAATTTGGCGACGTGGTTAGGATCTTCTATGCTCACGAAGACCCGACAGGCGAGCCAGAAGGTGAATCGCTTGGACAGGGGGAATACTACGACTTGGTCATTGTTTTCCCAACTTGAGGCGAAGTGTCGATTGGCAATAACGTCCATCATGCCAATGTATCGTTGCAGAGCTTCGGGTTTGAAGAAATTGGGGAGCATTTTTCTCATTTTGATGGCTTCTTCTTTTGAAGATGTTTGTGTTGAGGATGGAAAAACCTTGTTGACCGAGCTGGGCCACCAGGCCTGCACAAGTTTATTCTCGTTCGAAAACAAAAACTTGTTCCCTGCAGCACCGCAGAAAACTGCGGCCTGCTCGCCGAGGAGAGATGTTCTGAATACTTGGGAAGAGTATTTGACCATCCGGTCAAAGATGAACTTCTCCGGGTGGCCTTTCCACCCGGTGGAGAGGAACTCGAGGCTCTCCCCGACCACCGGCCACCCGGTTTTTCCTGGTGGGAGGGTTCCACCGGATTTGCTCTTGTAGAACAGGAAGTGAAGGGAAAGAGAGACAAGGAGAACAAAGAGGGAAAGGAGAGAAACATAGAAGAACTCCATGTCTTGTGGCCTTAACCAACAAGTTCTACAGCAAAATGCTTTCCCAGTGAGTTTGGGAATGAAGTTAGACACATACATATAGGCAGGTCGCTAGGCACAATATTTTGACTGATTGAATTGGACCAAACCTGTTGGATCATATTTTTGTACTTTATTTAGTGTACTTAATAGTGGTTGATATGATCCGAACCTAATCAAAATTGTCTCACAAAAAAAGGTATTAAAAGACGTCATATGCATATAACTGAGATCATATCAATCGCTATGGGATCATAATATTTCACCATTGTCCAATAGCTTACGTCTATAATGACTGCTTTATCGATACTAACTAAACGATAATCTTTATTTTTTGGTAACTCTATGCACCTATTAATATTTAATAACTTAGCACCTTGCACATTCATAATAACAAGACATTTTAATTTAGCTTGTAGACAAGTTCTTCTATGAGGCGCCACAACCCATATTTTGTTCGATTGCATACTCAACGTGGTGGCAGCCTCGATACTAATTGATATGAAGTCATGTGTAGAGCACAATTTTAAATACCAACTTACAATATCAGTCAGAATACATTAAAGTTCATGTAAATATATCTTAGATCATATTTAACTATTGGGATTAGAATAATGATGACCGGCCAAAAATAAAATAAAATGATGTAAAATTATCATAATAGTATTATTGATTTCACTTTTACACATTTAAAATTTAAATTTATTTTATTATAATAATGTCACGTCATTTAATTTGTATTTTTGTTCTACTTTTTCGTTCAATGTAACACTACTATTGAGATTATAACATTGGTCAAAATATTATTTGGGGTTCACTTTGGATCTAATAAAAATATTAATTGTAGTTCACTTTTGATTCAACAACCAGAGTTAATCATCAAACAGGTAGCGTTATTATAACAGTGTCTTGAGAAGGACATATTTAGGTAGGTTCGAGTGTGGCAATATAGAAGTCAAATTATGGTAGCTTGAAGGCTTCAGACAAAGAAAAAAGTCAAAACAAATACGAAGTCTGGTAACGTGGCTTGAGCAGTATATTTATTATGGTTAATTGTAGGGGATATATTAAATTAGATTTATTTGATAAAAAATATAGGATTATTAAGTACTTAATTTTGATATTTATTTGTATTCAAGTACATAATTTGAATTTATCTATTTTTATTGTGATATTTTTGTCCTTCATTAATTCATGTGTATTTAATATTTTTTTAAAAAATGGTACATTAAACATCTTTTAGTTTTATGGGAGAACTTTAATATATATATATATATATATATATACATAAATACATATTTTTATATATATTTATATGTATAAATACTTTTGTATGTGTGTATATACTTGTTGTTAAATCTCTTATCTAAATTTTGAATTATTTTTTAAAGCACCTTCATTCATGCATTTTTTTTTTAGAAAGTGGTTTTATTTTTAAATTAATTTAATATCAGAATAATGTAATAGTGTAATAATAACAGTGTAACAATAAAAGTGTAACAGTGTAACACTAACAATGTAGCAGTAGAACAATAATAGTGTAACAAGTTATTTACACAAAATATTGTACTATTATATTTTGTCAAACATATAGTTTCATATAATTTCATTCAAAATAGTTTATCTACGTTTTGAATTTGTTATCACATACACAAAACTACTGAACACTGTTTTTGTTACAGTGTATTTGTTACACTGTTATTATTACACTATTATTGTTATACTATTACATTATTCAGATATTAAATTAATTTAAAAATAAAACTATTTTTCAAAAAAAAAAATACTTTAATAAAGGTACATTAAATGTAATTTGAAAACAAAATCACTTTTCAAAATAAATACGCATGAATCAAGGTACATTAAAGATAATTCAAAATTTAAATAAGAGATTTAACAACAAATATATATATACATGTCTTAACAAATACATATGAATTAAATGTGCATTAAATACGTATTTATATGTATTAATAAACACACAAATCAAGGTGCATTAAAAATAATAGATTTTGAATTAAATGAATCTAAAATAGACATTTATGCCTTTTTAACTCATATTCTATTCTATATATTTTTTACCAAATAAATCTAATTAGACACATGAATCAAGGTGCATTAAAAATAATAGATTTTGAATTAAATGAATCTAAAATAGGCATTTATGCCTTTTTAACTCATATTTTATTTTATATAGTTTTTACCAAATAAATCTAATTAGATATACTAGCTTCTAATAAACTCATCTATTATGGGTGCCCTCAATGCTGATATTGGTGGGCTTCCCAGTTCTTACTTGTCTGAACTATTCCAAGTCAAATTAAGCTAGCTTGAAGAATTTGGTATGAGGACAAAAAAGTTTGGTGGGCTGACTTTAGATACTTGATATTGGTTTTATGGATAGATATTTTTTATAAATTATTTAAATATGCATCCGTCATATCATACTTTATATGCTCAAAATTTAGATATTCTAGTATGAAGTCTAATTATGATCCTATCTAAATATATATTGTTATTTGCTAAAGTTTAGCTTAACTAAGCTATTTTGATTGAATCAGGTGTTGAACCAAATTTTTAAAAATAGATTCAAATATTGAGTGTGAAAAATAAAATTTAATCCGATCACTTGACTGACCTATCCTATGCATTCACACTTAGAAATATTCTAAGGTCAAATTTATGCTAGCTTGTAGAGTGTGGAATAAAAGCACAAGAGTCTGGTGAATAGGCTTCATTATTATATATATCATTGGTGTTCGCAATGCTAAAATTTGTTGCCTTCCCTGTCCTCACCTGTGTGGACTATCACCTAAAGTTCTGATTTTTTCAAAGCAATCCATCGGTCAAATGCTCATACATCCATATGGTGGGTTGGGTATAAATGTTGTTAGAATATAAGCATAATATGTGGTTAATGCTGGGTGAATGACACTTTTCACTCTAAAATATCTTCAAATATTTAACATGAAAAAAAAAAAAAAACTAGTGTATTTTGTACAAGTGGGTCAAAAAAAGGCAGCAAAGCATGACGAAATAGATTTTTTTTTTTGGGTCAGGAAGCATGACAAAATAGATGACTCGGTCAAGAATGCATCACCGTCCACTCTCTGCGTTGAAACGGCTTGTTGTTAGACATGAATTAATACATATAAGCATATTTAATATATATCTATTAGTTATTTTGAAGGCACGGTGTAATAAATATATTTGTATTCGCACTCAAAATTAAATTATAAATAAAAGAGGTGAAAAAAAAAGAAATTTAAGCACTGATGGGTAATGGTGGTTGACGACACTGGTGATGTTGGGAAATGGTGATGATTGTGGTGCGTGCGACGACCATGGTGGTGGTGACAGTCGTGGGTCACAACAGTGATGACGGTGATAGATTTTGGGTGACGATTGATGGACCAAGCCCAAGAGGCCCAAATACATGTTAAAAAACCAGTCATGATCAAGGGCTCAAAATTACGAAGACCCAGCAGGCCCAACGAGATCCAAGTCCAGTCAAACTCATCAACTTAGGTACATCATGGTGGTGATAGAGTTTGGGCGACAGTATGATTGGTGGTGGCAAGTGGCAGCGGTGGTGAACGATGACGGGTGTGGTGGTAGGTGTGGTGGATGTGGGTGACAGTGGCTAGTGGCGATGGTGGACAATGACTGGTGGTGGTGGGTGTTGACGGTGGGTGAGGGATGATGATGGTGGTTGTAATAAATATAAGAATGAGATGACAGTGGTTGTAAGTGGAAGCAGTGAACGATGGTAGTAGCAATCGGTGGTATTGTTGGTGGTGGGGGGGTGGTGACAGTGGGGGTATGGCGGCGATGAAAGTGGTGGGATGCCAGTGGTGATGGTTATGGGGGGGGGCGTTAGGAATGGTGGTGGAAGGGGTGATAATAGGACAGTGATGGTAGTGGGTGGGGTGGTAACAGTGGTAGTGGCGGTGGTGTTGGTGGGGCAAATGTGTGGTGGTGGTTATTGTGGTAGATGTGGTAATAAGGGTGGCGACGATGGTGGTGGTGGTAGGGTGGCGACAGCGGTGGTGAGGGGGTGGTAGTGATGGTGGTGGTGGTGGGGCGGTGGGTGTGAACCTTCAATAATGGTGGTTGTGGCAAATATGACGGCGGTGGTCATGCTAGTGATGGTGGTAGGGCAGTGGCGGTGGTGGTGGGTAGGGTAGTTATGGTGGCGGTGGTGGTGATAGTGGTGGGGTGATGAGAGTGGTGGTGATGGTAGGGCAATTCCAAATATAATTTTTTTTAAGTACTTATAAAAAGTTATAAATTTTAGAAACACTTCTAAAAATCACTCCAAATATACCTTTAGGGGTCTATTTCCCCTATTGAATTTGAGATGTTAATATTTGCTAAAGTTTAGCTTAACTAAGCATATTTAATATATATCTATTAGTTATTTTGAAGACACGGAGTAATAAATATATTTTTATTCGCACTCAAAATTAAATTATAAACAAAGAGGTGAAAAAAAGAAATTTAAGCACTGATGGGGTAATGGTGGTAAGCGGTGGTAATAGTGGTGGACGACAGTAGTGATGCTAGAAAATGGTAATGATTGTGATGGGTGGCGACGACCGTGGTGGCGGTGGCAGTCGTGGGTCGCAACAGTGATGGTGGTGATAGATTTTTGGTGACGATTGATGGACCAAGCCCAAGAGGCCCAAATACATGTTGAAAACCCAGTCATGATCAAGGGCTCAAAATTACGAAGACCCAGCAGGCCCAACGAGGTCCAAGTCCAGTCAAACTCATCAGCTTGGCTACATCATCAAGAGAGTTCAAAAGCCTCACCCACAACGCCTTGGGAATAGTCAAACCTCACCTCATCCTTTGACTGAGTCTCATGGAGATCGCTGCAACCATCTGCACGTTAAGGAGAAGTCGTGAGCTCCACCAAAATAATTATGTAGTGGCTATTAAGTTACCCCAATCTGTTAGGGAGCGACTATAAATTGTAA